TCATCATCATCATCATCATCATCATCATCATCATCATCATCATCATCATCATCACCATCATCATCATCATCATCATCATCATCATCATCATCATCATCATCATCATCATCATCATCATCATCATCATCATCATCATCATCATCATCATCATCATCATCATCATCATCATCATCATCATCATCATCATCATCATCATCATCATCATCATCATCATCATCATCATCATCATCATCATCATCATCATCATCATCATCATCATCATCATCATCATCATCATCATCATCATCATCATCATCATCATCATCATCATCATCATCATCATCATCATCATCATCATCATCATCATCATCATCATCATCATCATCATCATCATCATCATCATCATCATCATCATCATCATCATCATCATCATCATCATCATCATCATCATCATCATCATCATCATCATCATCATCATCATCATCATCATCATCATCATCATCATCATCATCATCATCATCATCATCATCATCATCATCATCATCATCATCATCATCATCATCATCATCATCATCATCATCATCATCATCATCATCATCATCATCATCATCATCATCATCATCATCATCATCATCATCATCATCATCATCATCATCATCATCATCATCATCATCATCATCATCATCATCATCATCATCATCATCATCATCATCATCATCATCATCATCATCATCATCATCATCATCATCATCATCATCATCATCATCATCATCATCATCATCATCATCATCATCATCATCATCATCATCATCATCATCATCATCATCATCATCATCATCATCATCATCATCATCATCATCATCATCATCATCATCATCATCATCATCATCATCATCATCATCATCATCATCATCATCATCATCATCATCATCATCATCATCATCATCATCATCATCATCATCATCATCATCATCATCATCATCATCATCATCATCATCATCATCATCATCATCATCATCATCATCATCATCATCATCATCATCATCATCATCATCATCATCATCATCATCATCATCATCATCATCATCATCATCATCATCATCATCATCATCATCATCATCATCATCATCATCATCATCATCATCATCATCATCATCATCATCATCATCATCATCATCATCATCATCATCATCATCATCATCATCATCATCATCATCATCATCATCATCATCATCATCATCATCATCATCATCATCATCATCATCATCATCATCATCATCATCATCATCATCATCATCATCATCATCGCCAACATCCTCATCAACATCCAAATCATCCTTATCCTCATCACCATCAACGTCATCATCAACATCAACATCATCATCATCATCTTCAACATCATGATCATCCTCATAATTATCTTTATTATGATCCAAATCATCATTAACATTGTCAATAGTAATACTCTTATCGTATAAATTTAAATTTGATTAAAATTTCTCATTGACGTTGTAAATATTATGATGTTTCAAATAATCCACTCATTAAGTGAGTTGAGTAGTGGTACTTGAATAATCAATGACAGAATTCTTTTTGATTACTTTTAATGTTAAAACACTAATTGTATGTAAATTGATCAACAAGATCATATAATTCAACTATATGGTTGCTACACTTCACTACTAATTAATTATTATTAAAAACTAATCGATTTCAGGTTAGAAATTTACTAAACATCACTAATAACTTTATATCTCTTGAATAAGTTGAATCAATTCATTTTAAGAGGTTATGTTTTTATAGAAGCTCATTCTTCGAACTGATATCAGTCGTGAACCTTTATATATTGATGTAAATGTTTCGTTGACTAACCATCAAGTTTAGTGCATTATGATTTATTTACTTACTTACTTATGCCTGTTACTCCTCGTGTAGGAGCATAGGCCGCTCACCAGCACTCTCTATCCAACCCTGTCTAGGACAATGCTTTCTAATTATTTCTAGTTGTTATTCATCCTTTACATATCTGTTTTCATTTCCCTATGTAGTGAGTTCTTTGACCTCTTTCTTTTCTACTTCCCTTTAAGATTCCATGATGCAGGTTGATGATTTGTGTAATGTATGTCCTATCCATTTCCATCGTCTTTTCCTAACTTCTTCAGCTGGAAGCTGTTTTGTTCTCTCCCACAGAAGGCTGATGCTGATGGTATCCGGTCAATGGATGTTGAGTATCTTGTGTAGACAACTGTTTATAAATACTTGTACTTTATTGATGATGGTTGTCGTAGTTCTCCAAGTTTCAGCTCCGTACAGTAGAACTGTCTCGACGTTCGAATTAAAAGTTGTGACTTTGATGTTGACTGACAGACAATTGTTTTTAGTTCCATAGGTTCTTTAATTGTAGGAATGAGGCACTTGCTTTGTTAATCCTTGCAATATGAAATCATGAATAAGTACTATTCTGGAGTGTCAAATTTAAGCGAAACATCTGTTCAGTCTTTACAAGAGTTTCCAAGGATCGGCAAAGCAAGGTTAGCATTCCAACAATTGAGGAACATATGAAACTAAAAACAACTGTCCTTTAGCCAACATCAAAGTCACAATCTTTAATACGAGCGCCAAGACAGTCCTACGATACGGAGCCAAAACTTCGAGAACTACTACAGCTAACATCAAGGAAGTACAAGCATTTCTAAACATTTGCCTATACAAAATACCCAATGTCCATTGGTCAGATACCATCAGTGACAACCTACTGTGAGAGAGGACAAACCAGATCCGATATGATTAGAAAATTCGGAAAAGATTCTGAAGTTGAATAGGATGCATATTGAGGAAATCACCAAACTGCATTACGAGACAAGCCCTAACTTGGAATCCTGAAGAGAAGCGGAAAAGACGAAGACACTATGTCGGTAAATGGAAGCAGATATGAAAAGGATGAATAACAACTGGTAAGGATTACCCAGGACAGGGTTGGATAAAGAGTGCTGATGGGCAGCCTATTCTCTTCCAAGAGGAGTAACAGGTATAAGTATGAGTTAGAATTCTTGAAACTCCTAGAAAAAATTCCATATTGACTTTAGAGTTGTATCCACATACACACACACAAGCATTAGTAATAATATTAGGTTTGTAATTGTTTGATCAATCAATTGTAGATATCTCAATCCAACAGGAAGCTAGTTTTGACCCCAACAATTAATTCATCACGTGGGTTTAAATCGTATTGGGACTATTAGTTACCACAAGAATCTGAATGCAGTTTGTTAATCAATTCCAACTTGTGTAAGACTTAGATCAAACAATGCATCTCGTCAATTACTTTTATGTTTTTAACATCGAACTGATACATAAAAGTGACCTTGACAGAAAGTTCATTTATATTCATTAACCTCAAATTTAATAATAACCTGTTTACATTATCAGGACAGGGTTTGATGGAGAGTGCTGGTAGGCAGCCTAGGCTCCTTCACGAGGAGTAACAGGCGTAAGGGAGTAAGGAAGTAAGTAGGTAAGTATTCTCAATTATACATATTAAAAACAACATCTAACTCTGAAGTAGTGGATTTCATATATTCCGTTTGTAAAAAAATGACACAAAGCAGTTTATCTTTTGTGTTTGATTTGTTGAATATGGAAAGGAGTGATAACAAACTTTCTTTAAAAAAAGAAAAGAAAAGAATTTGGTGATCCAAAGTTTGAATAACTCTGCCTGGACTGACATATCCACCATTGTCTTCGTCAGTGAGTTACTATCTCATAATAGACCCAGTTTCTTTCTGACGGACTAGAAACTGTTGACTAAACTAATAACATCTATACACATTATAATATAGATATATATACACTTTTTGATACACTTCTATTAATAATTAAACATTATATCAAGGCCAATCAATGTAAACTATACAAATATTCACTTATGCCAAGAATGATTGAAATTTGATATGTTTGTTTTCTTGTTATTCTAAAATATGATCAACTTGATAAATAGTTGTTATAAACACATGGATGGTGGGATTAGAATTTATGGACAAACCAATCAGATTTAGGATAACAGGTCATAGATTTTGGCACGAAATTCATTCATCCAATTTGGTTAAATAGAGTCTTGACATTTTAGCTGATGTCAGTTTATGATGAAAATCATAAATCTCACTCTTAACCCTAATTATCAATTATAAATCGTTAACTTTGTTCTTCACACATGTTTATAACCTTCATTTACCTCTAGTAAATTGGTAGACATTCTCAAAGTCATTTAGAAGTCTCTAAAAGGTCGTCCATAAATCATAGTCTCATCAAAAACAAAAAAACTTCTTAGAATTGTTCTTTAATGAATCATAGGAAGATAAAATATATAGATTATAAATAAGTAAAACGATTAAAATTTGAGTGAGAACATTAAAGTTACGATAGAGATAGCATGTTGAAATGGTGTATAACTAAATCTTTTCTAATTTACCCTGTACAACAGCTAATACTTGTCAATGGTTGTATGCACATGGCCATGTGAGAACATTTTGATAAAGAAAGATGATTCTCCCCGCTCTTGGCAGTATCAGTGCATTCGAGGAAATTATCAAATGTAAGGTGACAATCAACTCCACTATTATTCGAAACTTTATCTTTGCACTTGGGAGCCAATAAAAAATGAAGTAAAAATTATTTTATTCTTTGTCATTTTTACTGACTTATATAAAGAATGAAACGTTTTCTACAACAAAAAATATCACTCTATCATACTACAAATGTGTCAAGTATAAAGCAATCAGTTATAATACAAGAAAAATGACAATATAATAAAAGTCATGCCTTCAATTCATTCTATAGTAGAATGAAAACAATCGTAATTACTAACTATGATACATTTAAATAAGACAATCAGCACAAAGTATAAGAACATACAAAAAATACTGTCCAGATGGTGATAGTAACCAGTAATAATAATAATAATAATAATAATAATAATAATAATAATAATAATGACAGTATTAACAGTAGTACCAGTAACTCACTTTCCAATTACGTGTTGGAACAGTAATAGCAATCAATACTTTACATTCAGTTCCATTAGTTATTTGAATTGAAGGTGATGGAGTAGAACTGGTTGTATCCAACGGAAAATGTTGAATTGGCATGAATGTTGATTTTTTTTCAGTTATACTATTTTTTATATATCTAAAACCCAAAAAAGAAAGATAAATAGTTATAAAAAGAGATGAAATGCTTATTGTCATGTTTCCAGTGAAATATGTTGATTTCAGAATTGATAACATGATAAATATTTGGAAGCCCTGAAATGTCCTGATATGGTCGAGGGTGGGCAGAGTCAGCTCTCTCTCTCTCTCGAAATGCTCGTATACAACCACTGTCAGGGAAGTCCTACCCACTGCCATCTCGAGGCTGGGGTATTGTTTACATAATTGAGAGGACGAAGAGTAAATGTCCGGAGATTTAACGAGGTTGATGAATATAGAGGTTCAACCTAGGAGAGTTGGAAAACCTTGATTCTTAAACAATGGTGCACATGGGCTCCAGTATCCTGAAGGAACAAATGACGAACGAACCCATTGTTGGTCACAGGCTACCATGGGACTGCATCTCCTGACATTCCCCGATTGCCTTGTGGATCAGACCTTTAGGTTGAATGCTCTGTGTGTGGCCTCTTAAGAAAACCACCTGTTTCAGTTTGGGCACCTGGACAGTATCACAGTCCGCACACAAATCAAGTGACTTGTTTGGCGTATATGTATTCGGTGCTCATTTTTTGCTAATATTTATGTGTTCAAATAAGTAAAATAAATAAATATTTGAAAGCTGAAACACTGAATATAATCACTTTCAACTGATATCATATTCTGATATACTTGACCATATGAATACATAAATAACCGCATTAGCCTCAGAATCCAGTACACAAGTCATTATAATTAAGAAATTACAAAATTTGAAATAAATCGTGTTCCAAACACATACCATTTCACTGAATTAAGAGTTTCTATATTTTAATTTCACTTGATATTATTTGCTTTAACCTTATCATTGATGTTTGGGACTACAATTGATCAGTTTCTTCTTGGGATATATGTCAACTCTGAGATGCAGGTGCATCTATTTGACGAGTCACGAATGGGACGAAACGCTCATCGTGGATTTTACTGCTAGCCACTATTATTTCTGCACATCATGCTTGTCACTTGAGGTAATATCAAGAAAATTCTCATAATATGAACATATGTCAATAACAGACTGATAGATTGCAGACCTAAACATCAATCGCTAACAGGACTCAGTAGCTAAGTAGATAACGCAATGGCATTTGAAGCGAACAGTCTCAGAGTGTACACCAACTCTGGGATGCAAGTACATCCAGTTGACGAGTCCTGAATAGGACGTAACGCGCGTTCTCAATTCCATTGATAGCTATTATCTATCATCGCCTATAGTTTCTTTAATTCGTTTTTTAGCATTTCAAATGGTTTTTTTAATTTCTCTCTAAAGAAAAAGCATCAGTTCAAGGTTAGGAGAAGTAATTTTAATTTAGAAAGTGTACAAACAACTGATACCTTTTATCCAACTATTCATAAAAAAACCATTTCAAATATTATTTATTTGAAATAAGTTGTGTTGTCATTTTATTGAAAACAAGTAGCAAAATCTGTCAGTTTTCATTGACGTGTATCGACACTGAACTGAATTTACCTTCTACTTAAAAGTACGTAGCACTTTTGATGTATGGTTAACAATGAAAGTTAGAACACAGAATATTTGTTAGTGTAAATCTGATCAGCTAGGTTTATCCTCAACTCTGTGGAGATAATCAAAATAGCGCTTAAAACTAATACCTATCACCTCAAATATCAACATGTTTTCAGACGCCTACTTCTGTTTGGGCTCCCTGGCAGAATTCCAGCCCCCACAAAAAAAGAATTATTTGTATGTATGATGCCTCCTTGTGCCAATATTTATGTGTTTGGATAAATAAAATAGACAAATTCCGACATCCTGTTAGACACCTTACAGATAACTTGATAACCATTGAACATATTAGTGAATATGAGGACTTAATAGCTTAGTGAAATAGTTCATCGATGTTTGAAACAATAGGTATCGGGTTCTAGTTATAGTATGATCATCGGTATTGAGGTTCAGAAATACGCATCATATTTTCTGCTACAGAGAATAGTCTAAATGTCCAAGATTTAGCTAAAGAAATATTGGCGCACTAAGTTTTAAAAGAACCCTACCTAATTATGTCATCATGGTAATAGTTCAATTTCAGTTAACTGGAATAATTTATTAAGTAAATCAAGGATGATCAAATACGTTTTTTCACATCAGTTCATTAATATGCCTCAGATATTGGTATTAATAAAGTTGTTAAAATGAATTCCTGTCGGAATCTGAAGTGTATCGCTTTACTTAATTACCTATTCTTAAAGAATCCATCGTATAAGTGAGGTGTATTAATTAAATATTAATTTCGCATTACATGAGTTTACTTTAATTAATGATTAAGATAATTTATGAATTGCTAATCGATAAATAAACCTCCCATTGATGGTTCATCTGAACGATTTACAAAATACAATAAGATTAAATCAATGAATACTTATAATCTCGTCATGGGGCTTGATCCCATACGTTTAAGTTACGTAACAAGCACTTGACATTCAGACCGATGAGTTGAGTTTTATTTGTTTTCATTGTCAACTTTAATCAACCTCTAACGTTGCACAGCAAAAACAAATATCAAATTCAACAGTCTTTGCTTTTTTTACAATAATTGTGTACTGACAACTGACTAGTTCCGAGAACGATTTCTAGAGTTCTAGTAAGACCCAACCGTTGCTGCTACCTTGATGTGGTGGTCGGGCTTGCCTATCGTGATAAAGCAATTAAGCTATAATGGCTGGAACAATCGTTTCTCAAGGTTCTACCATGTCAGACAGGCCAGTTGAAAAGCGGTGAGAATAAAAGCAGCAAACTCAAGGTCCGGGGGCAAGCTTGTACTACTGAATGTACAGAAGTGTGACAGAAGTATGGTGTTTCCTTTAGACAACTAGTGAAACAGCGATGCTGCCTTCCTACAAAAGAAGGGTGGAGTTAAAAAAGGTCGACGCTGTAAAATGCACACTTCACCTTATCCAACGGATTTCCGCCTGCGTTGGTAAGGTCTCAACAAGTACGGAGCTAACACAAAAATTATCCACAAAATGGTTGTGTGTGACCGGTCTTGAGCAGTTATCTCTTGCGCATCAAGGTCACGCTCACATGTTGATTAGACCAACTCCAAACGGATTTCCTTTTGAGATACCTCCGGAGAAACCCTTCCATGGTGTGAGCTACCCTTCCTCGAGAAGCATAGGCTCCCCACCAACATTCTTCATTCATCTCTGTCCTTTTCATTTATTTCCAGTTACTATTCATCCTTTTGATGTCTGTTTCAAACTCTCGACGCAGTATGTTTTTTTGGCCTTCCACTTTTCCATTTCCATTCAGGATTCCAAGTTAGTGTTTACCTCGTGATGTGATTCGTTTATTTCCATAACGTATGTTCTATCTACTTGGAGTGCGTTTTCTTTATTTACTCATCAGATGGAAGATGGTTTACTCTCTCCCATAGAAGGCTGTTGCTGATTGTATCTGGCTAATGAATATTGGGTATTTTGCATGGACAAATGTTTAGAAATACTTGTACTTCTTTGATGACGGATGTGGTAGTTCTCGAATTTTCAGCTCCGCACAGTATAACTATTTTGACGTTCGTATTGAAGATTGTGACTTTGATGTTGGCTGACAGACAGTTGTTTTTAGTTCCATATGTTCCTCAACTGTAGGAATGCGTCCCTTGTTTTGTCGATTCTTATCTTTACATCTGAATCGGATTTTTCTCGTTCATTGATTATGCTGTCCAAATAGGTGGACGTTTCCATCTCTTCGAGAGTTTCTCCATCAAGTGTGATGTTGTATTTGAAGATCTTGCTTTATATATGTTGAGGTCTACTACTTCGTAGACTGCTGCTAGACTGGTTGTCCTGACCTGGATTTCTTGCTGTTTATGGGATAGAAGAGCTAGTTAATCTGCAAATTCCAAATCGTCTAGCTGCATGCAAGCTGTTCACTGCATTCCGTGCTTCCTTTGAGATGTGAAAGCTTTCATAATCTAGTCGACCAGCAGAAGAAAAAGAATGATAGAGTGAGCAGCCTTGTTTGATAACATTGCTCGCTTGGAACGCATCTGTCAGCTATCCTCTAAGCTATAGCTAATCTGAAACGAGAAAGAGCAGTTGATCCAGATTGATCAACTCTAGAGGTCTTTAAGGATGGTAGTCCAGTCTTAGAGACTAAGATGATTAATATTTTAGCTAAGATCTGGAAACTGGACGTAATCTGATCTGACTGGTTGCAATCATCGATCTTCCTAATATATAAGTAAAGACCCAAATCATCCTTTGATAAACACAAAGGGATTAGTTTGACTGACAGAGTTTCTAACATACTAGCCTCAATAAATATCGAGTATCTAACAAAAACTCATGAACTACAAATAAGAGAAAACCAGGTCATTTTCAAGCCTGGTCGTGGCTGCATCGATCACATGTTCACACAAAGACAGCTTATCGGAGTCGGACAATGATGGTTTTTAGTGACTTAAAGGCAGAACTTGATTCTGCAGGCCTAGAGACTCTGTGGCAGTGTCTTTCATTGAAATGTGTACCTCAAGAGTATACAAACCTTGTGGAAGCTCTTAGCTCAAAAACCACTAATAACGTCAGAGCCAATAGAGAACTGTGATCTGATTTTTCAACGTCAAGTGGTGTCCGGCAAGGTTGTCCACTACCACCGCTGGAAACAAAGTTCCCACAGTTCAAACTTTTGGTACTTGACCTCCCATCACTAGACTCAATTATCTACTTAGAGTACACAGAAATTGTGAGATAAATATTAAGTTTGTCAACTTATCAGTAAAAGCTAGTAGATTGGTCAGAGCATTAAACGATTCCGTAGAATTGCAGAAAAAGAAGGGTAACTGTACTATATTAGCCCAGATATACTATTTTATATCACACCACTGGATTCCGGTATATTACAAACTACAGCCACAGAACCTATGCTTCCATACAAGTGGTTAGCGACTTCATAGCCTGATTAACTATATATAAATTTCAGTCGATTCCCAGATATCATTTATCACTGAACGATTTATCAGGTGAATTACTAAACTTTTATTATGAAACTTTAAAAACGAGAATTAGTCAAAAGGAGCTTTTTCTAACGCTGGACCACTCGTCGCACTATCTTAAAAATGAACTTTACCACACAGAACACAGGGTTGCGTAAAGGTTGCTGAGTTTAAGGACAAAAATAAACACTACATTCATACTCAACAACTAATAAATGATAAACGAAAATAAAAATTTAATTAGGATATTGTTTTACGGCATTGAGCCTAATACTTTATACGGTGATGCTTTATTTCAACTTCTAACTTTATAGTTTTGTGGTCTCTCTGTACAACCTTTTAAAAGCAAACTTTTGCTTAATAGCAGTTTTTTGATCAAGTAGCCTCAGGAATTTACTCTCTAGTTTATTGTGTAAATAGATTAATTTTATTGTTATATGACCGATATAAATCCATAAATCAAGTTTAATCAGTTGATTGATTTTAGGTTGGTGTTACGGTTATGCTGAAAATGGCTTAAATATCAAGATTTTAAAATAATTTGTAGTTGACAAGCCAAAGGATGTATTTTAAAGCCAAATAACCCTGCAGTAAACTGTTTACTAGCTCGTTATGGTATGTACTCTGGATGAACTAAAAATAACATATGCGGAAAGCCAGTACCGAAATATGCTCCATCTGTATGATGATGACGAGCAGATTTCGGTGTATAGGTATCTTGACATCTAGGACAATATATCTTAACCATGGCTTTACCAGGAACGTCTGATAAACCGACTAGCAAACATGGATGGCTTTCACAGTAAACTCAAAGACAATAACCAAAATCCCATTGTTACCGTTTTGCCACCATAAAACAAATACCACAATTTGTCAGAATGTATCTAGAATGTATTAGTTCATAAAGCATCTCAGCCGCTTGTTCAATGACATCAGTATTTTCTGGATTATCAGAGGGGTCAGTTTCCAAATCAAGTACCATATCGAGAGCATCTCGGTATTTAGGAACGTGCTCTGATAAACCGGTAAGTTTGAATCGATCTTGGATATAATCCTACCCTACTTCACAAAAGAACTCATTTCCACGTAGGCCGCAGAACCATGATATCCAAAAGATTTTGTCACTGCTACTCATTTTTTATGTAGCACAATTCTCCAAAAGTTAGCTTTAGCATGGTAATCAGTCAAACTCTTTACCAGTTCAGATTGAATAATAAGCTTGCGAATGTGCTCAAAGTCCAAAACTGTTTATGTTTATTATATTGCTTTCTTTTGATAACACTTATGCTTGTAGCTAACGGCGTAATTTTTATGATTTGTTATTTGTGTCAAAGACAAAGAACAAGAGGAAAGTAATTTTCGGAATTAACCTTATGGATTTTGTCTATTTTTTAAAGTCACCTAGTCAATAAATTAACTTTATTATATGCGCGAAGGGTGGCTTAGCCTGAGCTATATTTTTATTGCCAGGAATTTTAACAGTTTGAAAACAAATGAGAACTTGTTCTTGATAAAAACAGTTTAACTGTTGATAAAAGAGTTGGATAATTTATGGATCGTTCAGTTGTAAAAATCTCAAAAATTATGTATTAAATACCACGAAACAAAACATTCCCGATTCTCATCGACTAAGATTTAATCGAAGTCGGAAACTTGGCTATAATACGAGAATTATTCGTGGTAAGTTATTATTATTTCGACCTAAAGTGTTAGACTGAAGCCATACGATAAGTGACATCCTTCGTCATATTATGTATTTTGTTGAGACGTAAAAACAATAGCATTAAATTACCTTGTCACTAACGAATACACAAGTTTAGTTTTAAAAAATCGGTGACCTCTGGCTGTAAAAAATGGACATTTTAAACAATTCTCTAGATTTGAAGTTGTTTACGGTTAATCTATCAAAGGACTGTAATTTTTTTGCTCGCCTTTGCAATTTCAATTGATCCAGTGCATAAATTATTTGTTTTGCAAACAGCGGCATATGATATATTAATGTGTGAAAGCAGAGTTCTAGTTGCTGACTATTGGAAAAGAATACTGCCTAACTAACTAGCGTATCCTTCATTCTCAGTTTTAAAGTTTTTTAATTTCAACTTTGCTTTTCAGAATTAGTGAAATGTTTGTTCCTTGGGATCTGTGGCTGAGTTACCTAGGAATATGGTTCTTATTATATTTCTGTTACATAATAAGAGCCGAAACAACCAGACGATGATAGAAGCCACATTTTAGTTATTCTTTGGATAATAACTTTTATTTTCTAAATAGCTAATATGGTTTTCGGGTCCTAGAAAGATTCAGCACTGGGTAGCATCATCATAGTTTCTTGTAGGATGTACTATAACTGCAACTGTGAAAGCGTTTTCATAGATTTTCGTGCAAACGCCTTCGTTTTACGTATTTAGTACATCTCCCCTTAAGTGTTACTTGCTTCTGAAACGTATCTGAAGTTTATTCGGGTGAAGGGAACTATGGAGATTACGTCAACATGACCATATATTATCTAATTCTTCCAAACTAGGCTTACTTCAAGTTATGAGCTCTGAGGATAGCTTCGTGACACGTTTCGGTACCACCACCTTTTCGGTTCTTTTTCTTTTTATACGTTACAGAAGAGTAATTTTATTCCTGAAGTAAGGAAATACAACCCAGTGCTTTTCGCTAAATGATGTCTTAGGTGAGCACTAAAGACAGTTTTGAACAGATCTATAGTGAAGTTACCAACTCTACTAAAATGCAGCCCCAAGCATCAGCGTGCTTTTTGGATATAGATTGCCAGTGGAAAGAGACAACGGTCAATTTCAGTGGAGAAAAGTGTGGCACTGATATCTCCTATGAATTAAGTCGATGGACTATCATTGCCGCTCTTCACTATCATCCTATACTAATTGGTTATAAGGGGGAAGGATTTTTTCGGTGGTCCAGTCTTTTATCTTATGTAAATCTTTTTGCGGAATTACAGTATCAGCTGATCTAACTATCTCTGTCTTTGTGTTAAGATCATCCCAGTATATAAGTTTGTAATTCTAAAGAATTAAACAAGTTGATCATGTACAATAATAAAATGAATGGCCTATAGGTTGAGCGCTGTATCAGAAAGCCAGTTTGACATATTATAAGGAAGCACATTTAGTTGTCGAAAGCACTAAGACATCAGCGATCTAATATGTCACGTTTTTAGTGGAGCCCTTCATTTCGACGTTAATTAGATCTGACGATGTCATCGACGGGCTCATCATTTTAGTGGCCCGAGATTTTACTCTAGTTCAATCGTTTCTGATTGCTACTGAAAAACACATCATGACTATTCTCGTATAAAATTGTCGACTCAGATCGCCTTAGTGAATAACGGAACTAAATAAGTCAAATAAGAGAACGGGTTTCTAATACGTATATTTCGCACACTCAATTATCCGTACAGACAACCAGAGGGATGAAGCGAATAAAAGAGAATGAAACTAACTAATAAGCAGTGGAGAAGGCATGTGAGCCAACTTCATTCAACCAAGCGTTATTCAATTTTTGTAGACACACAAAAAGAAGTTACAGTCATGTGATGAGCAGGATAAGATATACGCACACATACGTTCATATGAAAAAGTCGAAGTTGATAAGTGGGTAATCAACAAGGTCAAAACGTGATCAAGAATAATGAATAGATCGGCCCGTTCAGAAACTAGAATAATATGTGTATGCTGAGCATATCAGCGAACACTATCATTTCAGCCGAGGGTCCCAGCAGTTTTGATGAAAATCCTTCATCATGACATTCTGCCGGGCAGAGAGTTTCTTGAGACACTAAACAATCGATGATGTTTGAAAAACCTTCCTTCGTTTCATATCACCCTTCAGTTAATAAACGTTGTTTACTCCTTACCAACAATCTAAGCCAAACCTTGATGACGATCAGATTCAAACTCAGAGGAGTGATATGTCCAATAAAATGTTGGGAGAGATTTACGATTCTACAACAAGCTGATATACTTTTCTACCTTCTTAATGGTTCTTTAAACCACTACTTGCAAGATCTCAGACGAATATGAAGCCATCAGTTTCCGATTTCAATAGCTGCAATGATGGTCTTACTCAAACTTTCTTTATCTCATGTCGTTAGGAGGACATTTATTCATGTATTGAGGTTACGGGCCCCTTTCATTGATAACCCGATGTGAAAATTAATGGATGGATGGCAAGTAACTTATTCTAAGCTTCTGAACATTTCTAAAGTATGCTCACAATTTCTCCGTCTTGAAGATAAGTTAAATGAAGTCATGTAACAAACGAATTTATGAAGTAATGTAAAAATCTAAGGCCAATTCACCTGAAGTCCTACTTTATGACAATGGGAATCGATTTACTTATGCCAGTTTTTCTTCGTACAGAAGCATCTCAATTCCAGGAATCAACTAATTTGCAGTTAGTTGAACTTTTCTCGACAGTTTTCACCCCAGTTTAGTGCGGACAAAGGATCCATATAAAATTAAAAACATTTAAGCAAAAACATCGCCAAAAGCTTTGCAGCAGATAGCTCAATTCTATTCATTAATAATGGATGTGCAACTTGGTGAATATTATGAAAAATAAAACACCGTGAAGCACTTATCTGTGATTGCTAAATTTTAAACCAATCATAAAACTTCTGCAAATCATTTTGATGCACTAAACTAAAATATCGTACATGTTTATTATCTTAACGTTTGGTATGTATTCAGCTGATATCTCTACGTTTAAAATAGTGTGAAAATTCAGAAATAAATCTTTATCGTCATTTTTATCCAGTGATGGTACTAAATCGCCAGCTCTATTAAAATGGAAAGGTTTTTCGTGCCTATAGGTAACCCTCGTGATATTGATAGAAGAAACCAGAGAAGTAGTGAATAGGTCTTTAATTCGATCTTCGCGCAGTCACAGTGGAGCGTGGGATTATCTGTTCAGACAAACAAAGGCTTTCAACATTCAATATAAGATAATAAGGAATATAACGCTTATACAAAATAAGGAAGTGAATGAATACTTGAACAATACTGTTTCGGCATATGTTTGGTTGTTTGGGGTCAACTCTTAACCAACCAACCTATGCTGTTACATTAGCTTCCCCCTAGAATCGACTTCCGTAGGAACGTCGGGTCGATTAACCTGTCTATCAAAAACACCTCAGTTCTATTTCTCATCCCAAGGGAAAATTATCAACTCGCTCAATGTTTGACTTACAATCAGTGGCAACTAACGCTGTCAACGGTAGTCCATGGATAACTCTTCATTTACTAGCTTGTCATCTCATTTTGTAGCATGTGATTTCTTCTACAACTATCGCTGACGGTTTGCTGCGTGCTTTCAAGAGAGTGTGAGAATGTGGAATAAGAATATCTGAGGAAGTGTCGCATTTCTCAGGCCGAATGGCATGCGTACAAACTCGAATAAGCCAAAGGGTGTTGTAATAGCTGTCTTAGGGATATCTTCATCAGCCACCGGGATATTGTGATATGCCTTGACTAAGTCAATTTTAGTGAATATGTTCATACCCTGTAAACCGTTTGTGAAATCTTGGATATGCGGTATTGGGTACCTATCTGGTACGGTTTGACGGTTGAGGGCTCTGTAATCCCCGCACGGTCGCCAGTCACCTTCATTCTTCTTTGGGACCATATGCAAAGGGGATGCCCATTGACTATCAGAGGGACGGATAATACCCAGTTGTAGCATATAATCAAACTCGGCTCTAGCGATTTTGAGCTTATCTGGTGCTAGTCTCCTGGGTTTTGCAAACACCGGTGCACCTTCGGTTTTGATAGTGTGACTTACTTTTAGTTTGTCTTTGGAAGCCTGTGGGTTTGGTTTAGTTAAGCTTGGAAATTCCGCGAGTATATCTTGAAATTTTGCTGTTGTTACTGGAGGGGTTTGAATCAAGTTAAGAGAGCTGATGTGACTTTCTTTGCCTTTTGTGTAAAACGAAGTTTCTTTTAGTGTTAATCGCCGTTTCTTGGTGTCAACTAGAAATTCGTATCTCTCTAGAAAGTCCATCCCCAGTATTGCCAGATCTAAGTTGGCCTTCTGAACCCCAAATCTAGGGTTAACGTTTTCTGCCCAAATGTCGCGATTGTAGTTTTATTTGCAGCTTGAAGTGTAATCGGGGATGTTTCTCGACTAATCTCAGTTTTATTTCGAGGGATGATGCTAAGAGCAGCGCCAGTATCCACCAAGAAATTCAAGCCCGAGTTTCTGTCTCTGACGTAAAACAAGCGACTGTTTAGGCGCCCCTCCTCAGTTGTCGCGGCCTGGGGAGGGGTTACTCGTTTCCCGCTGTCTTGGATTATGCTTAGGCCAGGCGCATGGTTGCCTGCATTTGGTTGAGTTGACACCAAACTTCCAGTGGTACCAACAAAACTGCCCAGATTGTCTGGACATTTGTGACCTGTTTTGTGACTTGGATCGTGGTCGTTGTGGTGACTTGCTCCTGTTTGTATGACCCATTTGCATTCTGGTGACTGCCTCAGTGAGACCCTTAACACTCGCAATGAGTCCTTCTATGACGGGGTCTTTTGCTGATTCTACTTTTTGTGTGTGATTTATTGTGCCTGATCCAGTTGGAGGACCTCTTTCCATTATTCTATCAGCTATACGCGCTAAATGAGTAAATGAGGTTTCAGGATCTTGTGCATCCAAACAGTGTTGGACGTAGCATGGGAGAGCTTGTATCCATCCTTGTTTTAGGACTGCTTCACCCACTGTGTTATCACCCACTAAGACTTGGAGGTGACGTAGAAACTGTGACGGCGACCGATCACCTAGTGTTTCACCTTGAAAACGTCTTTGGATTCTTTGACTATCTGATAATGATAAACGGTTCATTATCTCTCGTCTTAAGATGGTGTACGATTGTGGTGATGGTGGATCTAAAATCAAGTCACGGACTTCTTTGGCGACTGAAGGAGGAAGGATAGAACACAAATCTCTATAGCGAATCCCTTCAGATTTGATATTGTGTCTCGTGAAATAATGCTCTAGTTGAGCAAACCACAACTCAGGATCACTACGATCAAATTCTGGAAGTCGAGATTTCGTAGTCATAACAGTGTCTATCTCCACTGGTGACAAATCCTCCAGATTATGGGTTTCTTTTAAGTCTGACATGAGGTATGTGACAAATATAGCAATAAAATTAGCACGAAAAAATGGTTTCTATAACACGAATAACTTAAGATAATAAAAAAATAAACTATTTATATACCCAACTTAGTTTACGGATAATCAGGTCTACTTCTACGATTGAGTAAAAAAATAATATTAATAACAAAAATGAGGTTAATTTGTGTTCAAACAGGGCTCACCAGTTTCGTGCCTATAGATAACCCTCGTGCTATTGATAGAAGGAACCAGAGAAGTAGTGAATAGGTCTTTAATTCGATCTTCGCGCAGTCACAGTGGAGCGTGGGATTATCTGTTCAGACAAACAAAGGCTTTCAACATTCAATATAAGATAATAAGGAATATAACGCTTATACAAAATAAGGAAGTGAATGAATACTTGAACAATACTGTTTCGGCATATGTTTGGTTGTTTGGGGTCAACTCTTAACCAACCAACCTATGCTGTTACAGGTTCACTGATATGTTTCGTTGAAGGAGACAGATTTCGAAATGCACCACTTAGTTTGCCCTAGTTTTCCGTAAGAAGAACCATTTATTTACAAACATTTTTAGCGCAATCCCCAATAGTGTTGACAAGTCACTTTCATCAGTTGTAACTAAAAATACGATTAGCCGCAAATAAAATTAAATACAATTCCCTAAGTTTTGCGGTGCTTTATAAACATACACTCTTATTAAAATTGTCTGCTATTGTTAACTAACTAGTAATTCTTAGAAACTTTTCTAAACTACATCTTTCTGTATAAGCTAACCAGCTGCAATTAAGTTTGTTGGTGTATTCTACAGAGAACCTCATTACATTACGTGTGAAATGATAAAAACTCGCGAGTTAAAACCTACCTAAATTATAAAATACCTCAAAATTTGTCGTTTGATAAATGTTCATAATATATCAACATTAAACCGCTATGGCTAATAGGAGTAAATGAATTATATTATGAACTAAGAATCCCAGAAACAACGCGATTGGATCAAGAAGTACTAGATAAGCACAAACGAATGCACTGTATTTGGAATTCGAAATCAATCATTCAACAAGTAAAAAGGAATCATAAGTTCATTTAAACACCACATCCACCACAGCTTAAATTGGAGGCTAGGTGTCTGTGATCAATTGTACGTCTTCTTCGCAAGCTCATCCTGTGTCTTTGGACAGGACTCTGTATAATCTAGAATGTACGCATTATCATCAGAATTAACAACCAAAATTGGAACGGACTCACCTGGTTCCTGGAATTGTACTTGATCAACATGTCGATTGTGTGTACGTAAGTTATTGATATCTAGAACTCGCACCATAGATTTCCCGACATTCTTCAACACAATCTCCGTGGATGGTCTAAGATCATTTCCATGATAATATGTGAGTTCTGCAAACTCCAAACAACTCATATTCGACCGAAGAATTCTTCCTTTTTATAGCTCTGATTGAGTTTCTTACGTAACAGAATGTCTGGCTTTTCTATATTGCAGTAGAAAAGTATCTATTCCCCTCTCCAGCTCATTAGATGTTTAAACGGCAATAGAATCAATAGCAGTTTTCAATGTCCTGACAAAATGTTCTGCCTGACCATTAGAACATGGATGTTTGCGAGCAGTAAATAAATGTTTGCATCATATACCATTCAACTGTATCTGCTTCAAAATGAGAGCCATTATCGGTCACTAACACCATGAGAACCCTTTCTCGACTAAACACCTTTCTTAATGCTTGGATTGTGAAATCAGAATTTGATGAAGTTGTGAGAAAATCTTCATTGCACTTTGAAAAACAATCAATGACTACATGTGCATAGTTACTTACTTACGCCTGTTACTCCTCGTGAAGGAGCATAGGCCGCTCACCAGCATTCTCCATCCAACCCTGTCCTGGGCAATCCTTTCTAGCTCCGTCCAGTTGTAATTCATCGTTTTTATATCTGCTTCTATTATCCGACGCAATGTGTTCTTTGGCCTTCCTCTTTTTCGCTTCCCTTCAGGATTCCAAGTTAGGGCTTGCCTCGTGATGCAGTTTGACGATTTGCGTAATGTATGTCCTATCCATTTCCATCGTCTTTTCCTAATTTCTTCTTCAGCTGGAAGTTGGTTTGTTCTCTCCCACAGAAGGCTATTGCTGATGGTATCCGGCCAATGGATGTTTAGTATCTTGCGTAGACAACTATTTATAAATACTTGTACCTTCTTGATGGTGGTTGTTGTAGTTCTCCAAGTTTCAGCTCCATACAGTAGAACTGCTTTGACGTTGGTATTGAAGATTCTCACTTTGATATTGGTTGAAAGTTGTTTTGAGTTCCATATGTTCTTTAACTGTATGAATGCTGTCCTTGCTTTGCCAATCCTTGCCTGTACGTTTGCATCTGATCCACCTTGTTGATCGATGATGCTTCACAGGTATGTGAAGGAAGCTACATTTTCCAGAGTTTCGCCATCAAGAGTGATTGGATTGTTGTTTTCCGCTTTGAATTTGAGGACTTTGGTTTTCCCTTTGTGTATACTGAGGCCTACTGATGCAGAGACTGCTGCTACACTGGCTGTCTTCATCTGCATCTGTTCGTGTGTATGCGATAAGAGGGCTAGGTCATCTGCGAAGTCCAAATCGTCTAATTGATTTTGAGCTGTCCATTGTATTCCGTGTTTTCCTTCAGACGTCGAGGTCTTCATAATCCAGTCGACCACCAGAAGAAAGAGGAAGGGAGAGAGTAAACAGCCTTGTCTGACTCCGGTCCTTACTTGGAATGCATCTGTCAGCTGTCCTCCATGCACGACTTTACACTGTAGTCCGTCGTATGAGTTCTGGATAATGTTGACAATCTTCTCAGGAACTCCGTAGTGTCGAAGAAGTTTCCATAATCTCCTCCTATCTACACTGTCGAATGCTTTTTCATAATCAATGAAGTTGATGTATAGTGATGAGTTCCACTCAACTGATTGTTCGACGATGATCCGTAGTGTTGCGATTTGGTCTGTGCACGACCGATCCTTACGGAATCCAGCCTGTTGATCTCGAAGTTGGGCGTCTACTGCATCGTTCATCCGGTTCAGCAACACTCTGTTGAAGACCTTCCCTGGTATTGACAGCAGTGTAATGCCTCCATAGTTTTCACATTTGCTCAGATCTCCTTTCTTTGGAATCTTGACGAGGTGCCCTTCTTTCCAGTCCATCGGAACTTGTTCCTCCTCCCAAATCTATTTGAATAGAAGGTGAAGCATGTTTGTAGTTGCCTCGATGTCTGACTTCAGTGCTTCAGTTGGTATGTTGTCCGGACCCGCTGCTTTCCCGTTCTTGATTTGTCTGACGGCCATTCTGATTTCTTCCTTCGTTGGTGGGTCGACGTCTATGGGAAGATCTGTGTGTGCCGCTTCGATGTCCGGTGGATTCATTGCAGCCGGCTTATTCAGGAGTTCCTCGAAGTATTCTACCCATCTGTTCCGCTGTTGTTGAATTTCGGTGATTGGCTTGCCTTCTTTGTCTTTGACCGGTTTCTCTGGTTAACTGTATTTCCCTGATAGTTTCTTCGTTGTATCGTAAAGCTCTTTCATATTTCCTTCTCTAGCAGCTTTTTCTGCTGTCGTTGCTAGTTCTTCCACGTATTTCTTCTTGTCGGCTCTAATACTCCTCTTCACTTGTTTGTTTGTTTCTATGTACTCAGCTTGTGCTTGGACTTTCTCTGCTCGTGTCCAGCTGTTGTTTATTGCTGCCCTCTTGTTCTTCCTTTCTATGATCTTGTTCAGTGTGTCTGTAGAAATCCATTCCTTATGATGGTATTACATTAGACCCAGAAACTCTTGACACGTTGAAGTTAATGCTTCCTTGATGCCTTTCCAGTTGTCCTCCATACTAGTTTCTTCTTCTTTCAGTAGATCTTGTAAGGCTTGGAACCTGTTGTTGAGAGCTATCTTGAATTCATTGAGTTTGTCAGTATCTCGAAGGAAGGCTGTATTGAACTTTTGTATTGCTGTTTGTCCACTTGTCCAGTTCTCTTTTAGCTTCAGTTTTAAATTGGCCACAACTAGGTGGTGATCTGAAGCTACATCAGCACCTCTCCTGGTTCTCACATCTTCCATTGTCCTTCTGAATTTTTTGTTGATGAAAATATGATCTATTTGGTTCTCTGTAGTGTGGTCCGGTGAGATCCATGTAGCCTTGTGTATACGCTTGTGTGGAAATATTGTGCCTCCTATGACCAATTTGTTGAATGCACATAGATTTGCAAATCTTTCTCCATTTTCGTTTCTTTCTCCCAGTCCATGTCGTCCCATAATATCTTCATATCCAGTGTTGTCTATTCCGACTTTGACATTTAGATCTACCATCAGAATAGTTAGGTCCTTTCTTGGGCATTTCTCAATGACTGACTGCAGCCGCTCGTAGAACTGATCTTTAATGTCGTCGTTGCTATCATTTGTGGGTGCATAACATAGGATAATATTCATTAAGATCCCCTCCTTCTTTGTTTTGAATGATGTTTTGATGATTCTGGATCCGTGAGATTCCCATCCTACAAGTGCATTTCGTGCTACTTTGGACAACATAAGAGCGACTCCCTGAGTGTGTGGAGCATTATCCTCTTCGTGACCGGAGTATAGCAGCATCTCTCCCGTAGCTAGCCTTTTCTGTCCAGCTTGGGTCCAGTGGGTTTCGCTGATTCCCAGTACTGCTAAGTTGTATCTCCCCATTTCCATTGCTATTTGACTGGTCTTCCCGGTTTCCCACATTGTTCGAACGTTCCATGTACCTAGAAAAATTTTTGCTCTGGTTGTTAGAAGGGGCATCGGACTCGTGGCTTCCGAAGGAACTCGGCTTTCACCATGAAGCGTCATAATTCTTCTAAATGAAGACCTTCTAACTCCCAGGGCAGAGTTTAAATGGTTTGGATTATTTTTTCTGGTAAGCGTTTTTTTAGCGAGTTAGTTTTCTACGGGATGGGGACGCTAACCCCATGCCCAACCCTCCCCCATTACCCGGGCTTGGGACCGGCAGTAACCCTATGAGAGCTACAGGCGGAGTTACATGTGCATAGTATTTGCCAAGAAACGGACCACAATAGTCTGCGCGAATTCTTTGCCAAGCCTCAGACGATACTGGCCATGGAGTCCACTTCGAAGGATGGCGTTTGGACTGATGACATTTTCCACAATTGTTTGCTGTACGACATATCTTCGTTTACCTTTGACCACCAACATGTGAATCTTGCCGAGGATTTCATTTTCTCAACACCTAAATGTGCACTATGAAAATCTTCAAGAACAGATTTACACAATGAAGAAGGAATAACAACACGATCTTTTAAACAGAAAATACCATCATGAGTATTGGATAGCTCATCCCACTTTGACAAATAGACGGAAAATCTACGTTTCAGATTAGCATTCCAGCCTTTCCATATAGCACTAAGTATACATCCAAAGTATCTACGAGTTTCTCTATTGAGATCTGGACGTCTCATTGGTAAACGTTGCACTAACAGTCTGAAGTATTAGCAGGTCTATCTTGTAATGACTGTCGAGAAATGTAGTCAACATGTTGAATTAGCTTGGCACTTCTATAATGAACCGTATAGTCATATGCACTCAAAGCAATACTCTATCGTTGAACCATAGCATCTGAGGAACGTGCTAATGATTTTTCAGGAGGGCAAATAAACGTTAAAGATTCTTGTTCATTAACAATAGTGAATATTTTTCCGAATAAATATTTCTGAATTCTTTTAACAGTTCAAAACACAGCCAATGCTTGTCTCTGAGTTTGTGAATAACCTTGTTCAGGAACAGTAAGTTTGCGTGAAACACAAATAACTGGTTTACCTTCCTCCTCCATGACTGCGCCAATACCCACAGAATGTACACTAGGGGAGTAAGTTCGAAGAACCTCATCACTTTGAAGAA